TATTGTTGTATAACTCTTAATTCTCTTTATATGAAATAATTTGGGGATCGCCTAAGGGTGGAAGGGAATACGTGCTAACTGTTCACTTAGTTTTATTACACGTTGATCGCTATTGATAATATGTCTAGATGCTAGTATATCGAAATCTAATAAATAAACGGCTTAAAATCAACCATTTGCTTATGTATACCGTGTCTTATCTTAAAATTGATTGATTTGTAATAAATGATCTTTAAGCATGTTAGATACTAATTAATTGGTCTGAATTTAAAAAGGGTTTAATAACCTTTGGTATGTTAATAATCTAGATCTTAACTTTTATATGTCTAATAACTTTTTCAGCATGCTAATGAATTTAAAAAGAGTAATCTTGATTTTTTTTCTTAGTATTGATCTTGTCATAATTGTCAATGTGAGCTTTACTAATTAATTTTGGCATTATCACTTAGAAAGTATGCCTATAGGACTTGACTAATAAAATTGATGCTATCTAATCAGTTCAAACAATCTTTACAGGCTTCAATAATAATCTTGCCCATTAATCTAGTCCTAATTCACTTAAATTAGTGTAATTGCAACATGTCAATAGTTTGGGTTATTTTTGTCAGCATATTCATTCATTTAGAAACCATGCCTATAAGATTAAATAAATAATTGGTCAGCATGTTAAATAATTAAAATAGATCCGCTGCACATTGTCTGCTCCTTGTCCCATTTAGTTCAACTAGTTCCTTCCATATAATAAAATGAATAGAATTGTGAATATTTCCATAATCCATAGTAATATATATTTTCTGCCATTTTAGGACCTTCAAATGATTACTTTTGTATCTAAATTAGAATTTATATGTTGAAATATTTTTATTAATTATTTATATGTTATATGAAATTTAGAAATCATGCCTATAGGAGCTATAATATTTTCAATCACTTAGAAATCATGTATATAAGTTTATAAATCAATTTTCAGCATGTCACTAAAATTTGGAATTGTAAAATCAATTTTAGATTCTTTAATAAATTAGATTAATCATATGTTTGTTGCAATAAATAATCTCTAGCATGTTAAAAAAAATAATGATAAGATGAAAATCTGCTATGAACTGTCCTCTGCATGCTACAATTTTAAATCTGCCATAATTAAAATTTGTCCAAAATAATTAATTTATGCATGAAAATAAATTGCATCGCTACTTGAAATAAAATATGATTCATCTTTAGCATGCTAGTTAATAGTAACCTAGTTTGCTACTGTTTAAAATATATTGCTTGCATTTGTGACCACTTTGCTGTTACTATTTTAAAATCAACCAATTGTAATTTGCATGCTATTCTGCTTGCTTTGCTCAATACTGCTACTTTAAGTCCGCCTATTATGTGTAATGTATTTTATGCCCACACACTAAGCCTAAGATCTTTCACTTTATGTGTGTTTGCTAGCATGTTTAAATTAAAATCTAGAGGCCAATACGAGACCCTACGTGCTAAATGCTTGTCTAAATTGTTTGACTTGGTGTCTAGGTGGCCTATTATATTTTATTTTGTCTAAATTCACCCTAATAGCAGTCCAATGCCTCTTGGACCTTACGTGGGGACGCTAGACACCTTTTAGAGACGAAAAGCATGCGGTGGTGGGGTAGGGGTAGTTTAGGCCCTATGGAGATGATGACATCGACTCGGTCTAAATGACAAAGTTTGATTTTGTCTGTCCCTACGAGAAGTCGACCGAAATAAGAAAGTCGAGTGCTGATCCTAAAGTCCTTCAGAGTCTCCCTTTCCTTTTCTCCCTTTACTTGTTATAATTATTTGGGGTAGTTTAATTAAAATAAAAAATGTTTGCTTATCTATTTGTGTAATTTCTATCTCCTCGCTTATCTCCTTATTGTTTAATATTTATTTGTTGACTTATCACTTAGTCTTGCATGCTCAATTAATTAATTAAAATAACTAAAGTTTCCTTAATTGCTTAATATTATGTTATCACCTAGTTGCATGTTTAACTAATTAATTAAAATAATTAAAGTGCTCTTAATTGCTTAATGTTGTTATCACCTAGTTTTGCATGTTTAATTTATTAAATTAATAAATAAATTGATTTTAATTGTTTAATATTTATTCATCACCTAGTAATCATGTTTATAAAATAAATAATAAATGAAGTGACCATACTTGCTATTTGTAACCCCCATAAATTGCATGAGACACGATCGGGACCCACATTTGTGGACCTCGAGGGGTGCCTAACACCTTCCCCTCGAGGTAATTTTAACCCTTACCATGATCTCTGGTTCGTTGACCTTAGTTAGAATTAGCTAGGTTAGATAGGTGACATAACGCGCCTTAATTCGTTAGGTGGCGACTCTTCATGCTCCAAAACCCAAAAGAGTTGTTAGGTCGTGCACTAGAATCCGTTTTGCGAAAAATGGTGCGCGACAGAATGGCGACTCTGCTGGGGATGTTAGGTTTTAACCACTACGTGTTTCATGCTTTATGTGGTATTTATTGGGTTATTTCATTGTTTGTTTGATTAATAGCATGTTAAGGTTTTATTCGTTTTCCTTGTTTATTTGTTTTCTTATTTATTTTCTGTTTTTCATGTTTCACCCTTTTCCCTTCTTCCTTATTTGTTTATTTTCATGTTTCGCCCTTTTCCTTTTCCATTATTTGTTTACTTGTTTGCATGATCTCATACCCTCTTTCCTTATTTGCTTGATTCTCTAATATTTTATATGTTTATGTCCTTTTATTTATGCGTGTATTTATTTACTTATTTACCGCTTTCATAAAATTGCCTATATGTTACTGCTTTCAATCTAAATGCTAAATGTTACCGCTTTGATAAACTGTCATTCCATTCATACTTCCCTCAATTGGGACCCTCTTCCTTTTTTTTTGTTACCGTGATGTTGTGCCTTTGCACCTCTCACAACTACTCCATTTCACTTCAAAATACCCAATTATAGAGAGTCGGCATATGCGTGGACGTAACGAATAGTTCTACTACCGTGAAACCACAAGCCTTCTCGCCTAGAATCCCTTTCAAGTCCGTGTCAAGCCAACTTTTAGAAATCTTGATTAGGTCATACATGATGCATAAACCCTAGGTGGTTTGACACTTGGTGTCAATCTACATAATTAGTAGCCACCTTATTGTCTAAAAGGGCCCCAACACCCTTTAGACAAATTGCATACTTATGTGTCAATGTGGTCATAATAATTAAATTAAGCCAAGTTTGCCAATATGGAGTTTAGGTTTTTTGTTTGTTGTCTGTTTGCAGAGTCATGGCATTTCCTAATTTTCCAAACACGCAAATGGTAGTCAAAGTGAATCCTACTTTGAAGGTCTGGTGGAAGGATATTGAAAGGAATCGAGAGTTGGAGGCAAACGAACTACTAGGTGGCCTTACTGCTTTATTCTCCATCGAGTCAGATCGTCACTTGATTAAGGCACTGTTGAAGTTTTGGGATTCGGAGAGGCTAGCGTTCAAATTTAGGGATTTTGAACTAACCCCGACGATTGAAGAGATTGGTGGGTTTCTTAGTCTCCCTTACAGAGATTGTGAAATGATTGTGCCACACAAGCCATCTCCAAGGTCCTTCCTGAAACAAATGGGCATGCGTCATAATCCGAATTTGCTTTGTCTGAAAGAGGGATGGATTTCTTTAGAGTTTCTATACTCACGTTTTGGAGACGAGGAAGGCCATGAAAACTTCCATAAAGAATTTGCTTGCTCTCCTGCGAAGTGGGAAAGATACCGTCTTAATGCTTTCGCTGTCGCACTGTTGGGCTCATTAATTTTTCCTAGAGAAGGAGGAAAAATACACACTAGCCTAAGTTATGTGGTTCGTATGATGGCTCGAGGCGGAAAGACTATAGTTCCCATGATACTGGCAGAAATTATAAGGGCACTCACCAAGTGCACCAAAGGCAAAAGGTATTTTGAGGGGTGTAATTTTCTATTGCAACTTTGGGCTGTTGAGCATTTCTATCAAAAGGAAAATTCGGTAGACATTCTTAGAGGGACTATGGGAAATAAAGTCATCAATCATACCTCAAGGATGAAATATTTTGTTTCCCCTGTGGGAACAGAGGACTGGTTTGTTTATTTGAGAGAACGTTCAGCCATCAACATTCAATGGAAATACTATTGGTTGAAGCCTCGTCGTGTCATTATAAAAGGTAATGAGCTCTACTTTATCGAGCTCATTGGTTTAAATGGCGTGCAACCATACGCACCACTCCGAGTCCTCCGACAGTTTGGTCAAATCCAAATGATACCTCTACGATCCCATATGGGCCAATATGGGTATGATTTTGGGCCAGAAATACCACAAGTGGACACTATACTGCGAAGGTGGGAAAAAGTTGTAACTATTGATGTTCGAGAGCACAGACCCTTCTGCACACCAGAGTATTACGTGTGGCTTTTGGAGGACACAAAGCATGCAGATTTGAGCGAAAAAGGCATTCCAGGCTTTGGTGATGAAAAGGAAAGAAGATAGGCCCGCAACCTCCTCAACCGCGACTATGAGATCACTCCAGAAATGAGGCAACAAATTGTGCCTAACATTGGAGACCAGCATTGACCCTGTTTCTTTTAGGATTTTTATTTCCCCATGTTATCCCTAGCCCTTTAGTTTATTTCTAGTTTTGGTTTAGTATGATGTAATAAATTGAAATTATTCAATATATGAAGTTCGTTTTATTTCTCTAACTCTAAACTCCATTTGGCAAATAAGGCTTGAATTAATCATTAAGCATCACTTAAATGACGTCTTAGGCCTACCTCTGGCTCAACGAGGTCCCTTGCATCTAGGGCGTTTATTTCAAACAATGTGCCATTATTATTATTATTTGTTCTAATCCCCTAACACAGTTTTCTGTTGATTCCATTGTTTTTCCCATTCCTAAGGTTGATCTGCTCTTCATTCTGGCACATACACGATCAAAAGGGACCCCCCATTCTCCTCCTCCTCCTCAAAGAACAGACAAGGGTAAAATGGTTGACAACAACAACAGCAACGAAAGAGTAGAAACTTCTGAGGGAGGGCAACTTCCAAGTGACCTTGTCCTTAGGCTTGAGCGCAAGATTGCAGATTTAGAAGAAGAAGTAGCGCATATGCGCGATTTGGCCAAGTTATCTATTTCTCTTGGAACCCAATTTGGCGAAAATATAGACAATCCTCCTCATTCTAACCAAACAACTATGCCAAACAATCCCCCAACCAATGTACCCCGACCTGAACCCACTCATCCAAATATCTTCCCACCACTTCATGCCCAAAATACCCAAATCCCATTTTACCACTACCACCAACAAACTAAGCCAACTATCCCAGAACCAGTTCCAAATGCAAATCCTTCATATACTCTTGGAAATAACAACCTCAACCCCATCTATGTAGAAACTGCTCCCTTGACCCATAACTACCATGAATCAGAGTCCTCCCAAAAGGACATTCTGATAAAAACCCTGACCGAGAGATTAGATAACTTGGCCAGCAGGGTGCAACATGTGGAAGGAAGCAAGAGGTTGGGAGGACTGAGCTATGAGGATTTATGTATACACCCCGATGTAGAACTACCTGAAGGATACAAGCTTCCGAAGTTTGAATTGTTTAATGGCATTGGAGATCCCAAAGCCCACTTGCGAATGTACTGTGACAATCTTGTAGGGGTGGGGAGAGATGAGAGGATACTCATGAAGTTGTTTATGAGGAATCTCTCCGGAGAGGCACTGTCCTGGTATATTGAACAAGACCCTCGAAAATGGGATGAGTGGGTAGACATGGCAACAGACTTCATGAACAGGTTTGGATTTAATGTAGAAAATGCACCTGATTGGTTCTACATCCAAAACCTGAAGAAAAAGCCCAGTGAATCTTTCAGGGATTATGCGATAAGATGGAGGTCTGAGGCGGCTAGGGCCAGACCTCCCATGGAAGAATCTCAGATGAAAGACTACTTCATCCGTGCTCAAGAACCACAATATTATGATAGGATGATGCTTGTAGCTGAGAAAAGTTTTGCTGAAATTATCAAGCTAGGTGAAAGGATTGAAGAGGGCATAAAAAATGGGACTATCATCAATCTGGAAGCCCTGCAAGCCACCAACAAAGCTCTGCAATCCGGAGGAATGACAGAAAATCGAAAGAAAACAGGCTCAGTCATGATGGCTCAGGGGACCAGAACCCCTTATAAGTACCAATCAACAACCCCACATCCATCTCCATATCCCCAAACTCCATACCCTTCAGCTCCACCACCTATATCTCCCAACCCCATGCCAGTATATTACCAAAATGCTCCTCCTCAATACCAACAAGCTTCATATCCTGTCTATAATGCCCAACCATCATACTTCCAAACCCCACCACCTACTCAAACATCAAACTACCGAAACAGACCACCATATGAAAGAAGGCCTGCGAAGAACTATACCCCTCTGGCCGAGCCTATTGTCCAGCTTTATGAGAGACTAAAAGAGGCTGGCTATGTCACCCCAGTTCCTGCATTGCCTGTGGATGTCCACACAAAATGGTATGACCCTAACAAGGTTTGTGCCTACCATTCTGGGATGAAAGGTCATACTACTGAAATTTGCAGAGCCCTGAAAGATAAGATTCAAATGTTGATTGATACTAAGGCCATCCAACTTAAAGATCCAGCACCAAATGTTGCAAATAACCCTCTGCCTAACCATCAGGTCAACATGATAGAAGCCGATGATACCTCGGATTGGGAGAAATCCATTTGGGTCCTTGAGCCAGAAGAAGCGATGATTGCTACCGCTCAGACTCCAATGGTAGTGCAAAGGCGTGCTCCGTTTGAGGTTGAGATAGCCAAGCCCAAGCCTCCATTCATTGTTTATAGGGCGCCTTCCCCTGTCCAATATGATACCCATGCTGTTCCATGGGACTACAGAAAAGGAAAAACAAAAGTGGAAGAAACAGACACCGCAGCAGGAGTTACTAGATCGGGAAGGATTTACACTTCTGAAAATTTGGTGCAGGGAAGCTCCAGCAAATCCAAGGCACCAATTGTAGAACTTGAAAATCAAGGAATTTGGAAGAAGATACAAGCAAAAGAGTACTTTATTGTTGAGCAATTGAGCAAAACCCAGTCTCAAATATCCATCCTATCATTGCTGCAATCTTCCGAAACTCATCGGAATGCTCTATTGAAGGTCCTGGGTGAAGCCTATGTCCCATCTAGCATCACTCAAGGAGAGGTAGCCCAAATGGTCGGGCAGATTTTTGAGGCATATCGATTATCTTTCCATGAAGATGAGTTGCCAATTGAAGAAACAACCCATAATAAGGCTTTGTACATTTCAGTTCAATATCAGGACAAGATAATCACCAAAGCCTTGGTTGATTCAGGTTCGGGTTTGAATATCTGCCCTCTGACCACGTTGACAAGGCTAGGCGTGGATAGTGCAAAGATCCAAACTTGGAAGATGAATGTGAGAGCTTTTGATGGTTCTCAGAGGGGTACTATTGGAGAAATAACCTTGGACATGTTCATTGGTCCTGCTACTTTCCCAATAGCTTTCCAGGTCTTGGATATTCCATCTTCATATAACCTCTTATTGGGTTGTCCTTGGATTCATATGGCCGGAGCAGTTCCCTCTACTCTTCATCAATGCTTGAAGTTTGAATAGGATCATGAAGAGGTTGTAGTTCATGGGGAAAAGGGACATCCTGTATATGCGATAGAAGGAGGGGGTCATCTAGACGGTGAGATGTACCATACAGTTGAGCTTGTTGGCAACATTGAAGTGCAACCATGGTTCAGTCAGAAGATCATAGATATGATGACCTGGTTTGGTTTCGAGCTCGGGAAAGGTTTGGGAGCTAATTTGCAAGGAATAGTTAAACCTATACAACATGTTCGTCATTCAACCACTTTTAGTCTGGGATATAAATATACTACTGAGGAGTGGCTTGATTGGCAACCACCTAGAGATGGGTACTACTATCCATTGAAGAAACTGATACCACCGCTGCACCAATCATTCCGATCAGCAGGTTTCATGGGATGTATCATTGGTGATCTTTTGGAAGACATGAAGGGTTTATCTCTGACCAAGGAGGAAGGAAAATGTTGTAATGTCGTGATCAACGAGGAGGAGAAAGGGGACCCTAGAGGAAGCAATGAAGCAAGGATCAGCATCAGCATTTGGACCTCAACTCCATCCAGACCTCGTCGGGGATCTGGGTAGCTGTGGAAGAAATTTTCGAAGCAATTAGATGCTGGAATCCTTCAAGTGACGGAGTACCCGACATGGATTGCAAATGTCGTTCCAATGCCAAAGAAAGATGGAAAGGTTAGAGTCTGTGTGGATTATCGAGATCTCAACAAAACTAGTCCCAAAGATAATTTTCCATTGCCCAACATACACATCTTGATCGATAACTGTGCTAAGCATGAAACACAATCATTCATGGATTGCTTTGCTGGCTATCATCAAATTGAGATGCACAAGGACGACGCTGAGAAGACTGCTTTCATCACACCGTGGGGTGTTTACAATTACAAGGTAATGCCTTTCGAGTTAAAAAATGATGGCGCTACATACATGAGGGCAATGACCACTTTCTTTCACGACATGATCCACAAGGAAATTGAAGTTTATGTGGATGATGTCATCATCAAATCAAAGAGGAGATCAAATCATCTAGATGATCTGCAAAAGTTCTTTGCTAGGCTACGCAAGTATAACCTGAAGTTAAATCCTGTAAAATGTGTTTTTGGGGTTCCTGCTGGAAAGCTCTTGGGTTTCATTGTCAGCCGCCGAGGTATAGAACTGGATCCATCAAAAATCAAAGTCATTCGTGATCTACCTCCGCCGAAGAGTAAGAAAGAGGTAATGAGTTTCCTGGGTCGACTAAATTACATCAGTCGTTTCATAGCTCAATCTACTGTCATTTGTGAGCCTATCTTCAAGCTGTTGAAGAAGGATGCTGCGGTGAAATGGACAGAAGAATGTCAACAAGCGTTTGACAAAATCAAAGATTACTTATCCAATCCACCTGTGTTGGTTCCACCAGAATCTGGTAGACCGTTGTTGTTATACATATCAGTGTTGGATAATGCTTTCAGCTGCATTTTGGGGCAACATGATAAGACTGGAAAGAAGGAGCAGGCGATATATTACATGAGTAAGAAGTTTACATCATATGAGGCTCGATATTCTCCATTGGAGCGTACCTGTTGTGCTTTAACTTGGGTCACCCAGAAGCTTCGACACTACCTCTCCTCGCATACTACTTATCTGATTTCAAGGATGGACCCTCTGAAGTATATCTTTCAAAAGCCCATGCCTACTAGTAAACTGGCTAAATGGCAGATATTACTGAGCGAGTTTGACATAGTGTATGTTACACAGAAGGCAGTGAAGGCACAAGCATTAGCAGATCATATGGCGGAAAACCTTGTAGATGATGATTATAGACCTTTGAAGACTTACTTCGCAGACGAAGAAGTAGCTTTTGTCGGGGAAGACATTTCTGAAGAATATGATGGTTGGAGGATGTTCTTTGATGGAGCTAAGAACCTGAGCGGATCCGGCATCGGAGCTGTTTTGATCTCACCAACTGGGCAACATTATCCGGTATCAGCCAAACTCAGGTTCCTATGCTCAAACAATATGGCTGAATATAAAGCGTGCATATTGGGGCTCCGACGCGCTATTGACTTGGATGTCCAGGAAATGTTAATAATAGGAGATTCAGACTTATTGATCCATCAGGTCCGAGGCGAATGGGCTACTAAGAATCGGAAATTGTTACCATACTTGGAGTGCGTGCATAGGTTGTGTAAAAGGTTCATCAAGGCAGAATTCAAACATGTGCCAATGATCCAGAATGAATTCGCAGATGCCTTAGCCACCTTATCTTCCATGATTCAACATCCTGATCATAATTACATTGATCCTATTTACATCCACATCTATGAGCAATCGACATACTGTTTTCATGTCGAGGAAGAACCTGATGGAAAGCCTTGGTACAATGACATTCGAGGATATTTGAAGAGTGGTGAGTATACAGAGGATGCAACAAGTGTACAAAAGCGTACAATTCGGAGGTTAGCGAATCAATTCTTTCTAAGTGGAGAAATCCTTTATAGGAGGACTCCCGATTTGGGGTTGCTAAGGTGTGTCGAAGCTAGAGAAGCCAACAGGTTGATTGAAGAGATACATGCAGGAACATGTGGTCCTCACATGAATGGCTTTACACTGGCGAAGAAGATCTTGAGATCGGGATATTTCTGGCTAACTATGGAGACAGACTGTATCCGCTATGTTAAAAAATGTCACCAATGTCAGACTCATGCAGATATGATCAGAGTTCCTCCCAACGAACTCCATGTTACTAGTTCACCGTGGCCCTTTGCAGCTTGGGGCATGGACGTCATTGGGCCAATCGAGCCAGCGGCATCCAATGGACATAGATTCATTCTGGTTGCAATTGACTACTTCACCAAATGGGTCGAAGCCACCTCTCACAAATCAGTGACAAAGAAGGTTGTGGATGACTTTGTCAAAAATAATATTATCTGTAGGTTCGGGATTCCTGAGTCAATCATCACTGACAATGGAACCAACTTAAATAGTGATTTGATGAGATCATTGTGTGAGAAGTTCAAGATCAATCACCGAAATTCTACAGCATATAGACCACAGATGAATGGAGCTGTTGAGGCTGCAAACAAGAACATCAAGAGGATATTGCGCAAGATGATCGATAATCACAAACATTGGCATGAAAAGTTACCCTTTGCATTGTTGGGATATCGTACAACCATCAGAACTACTACTGGGTCCACGCCTTATTTTCTGGTATATGGTAATGAAGCTGTGATACCTGCCGAAGTGGAAATACCATCTCTAAGGATTATTCAAGAAGCGGAGTTGGATGATGCTAAATGGATACAAATTCGGGCGGAAAATCTTGCATTGATAGATGGAAGGAGGATTAACGCCGTTTGTCATGGTCAACTTTATCAAAATAGAATGGCCAGAGCTTTCAACAAAAAGGTTAGACCCAGACATTTTTCACCTGGGCAACTGGTTCTGAAGCGGATTTTTTCAAACCAAGATGAAGCAAAGGGTAAATTCTCACCAAACTGGCAGGGTCCATACATAGTCTCTCGGGTATTAATAGGCGGAGCCCTCATACTTGCAGAAATGGATGGAGAAGTTTGGCCCAAACCCATCAACTCAGATGCTGTGAAAAGATATTACATCTAAATTGTTCATGCTCTTTTACTCTGTATTTGCAACTACGTCAGACCTGATTCCCGTTTAAGAGGGGATACGTAGGCGCTCCTTTGGAGTTCGGTCTTATCATAATAAAAATTTCATTTTCCCCTTTTGACTGTTAACTGGGGCAGAATTTTTGAGAGGGTCTCAAAAATTCCATCAAAAGGACATATTCTTGCAAATCACGATACTGGAGCATAATTTTTCAAAGGAACTCAAAAATTCCATCAAAAGCATTTTTTCTCACAAATCAGTAACTGGGGCAGAATTTTTGAGAGGGTCTAAAAAATTCCTCTGAACAAAGCATTTCCTGCACAAATCAAGACTGGGGCAGAATTTTTGAAGGTCTCAAAAATTCACTACAATCTTCAACAAAGATCAGATAACAGATTTGATACTGATGTCAGATGTTGCAAAGTCTCAAACTATGCCATGGTCAAAGATTCAACATTACTTTTTACAATTTATTATTTTCAAAAAGCTTTTTCGAAAACTCTATCGCCCTCTATTTTACATTTCTCTTCAAAGCAAATGCTCGGAAAGGTCTAGATGGCAAGTCAAAGGAAGCACACCGGTCGGAGCAGATCAACCGCCCCCATTTTTAAACTCACAATCTTTCTTTGAATACAGGAAAACAGGTACAGACGCAAAAGATAACTTCAGCATCACCTGACCGCTATTAAGCTCGACAAATCGCTAGTAAACGGTGCCCTGTCCTTCTGACATGAATGAAAGACCAAGTTATTTTGAGCCCGACAGATCGCTAATTATTGGTACATCTTTCCAATCAGACGAAAGAATCAAGCTATTTTATATCAAGCTCGACAAATCAACATTCAACTGCACCAACTCCTTATAATAGGACGAAGGGTCAAAGCTACAATATTCTGAATTCGTCAACAAATGACACCCAATCCTTTCAATAAGACGAAGGTCTATGCCTCCAATCAACTATTGCATGTGCCCGAAAATTGCATTGTGGCCGAGATCTGTATGTGCCCGAGAATTGCATCATATGCATGTGCCCGAAGATTGCATTGTGCCCGAGATCTGCATGTGCCCAAGAATTGCATCAGATGCATGTGCCCGAGATTGGATTGAGCCAGAGATTGCATTGAGCCCGAGATTGCATTGTGCCCGAGATCTGCATGTGCCAGAGAATTACATCATCTGCATGTGCCCGAGAATTGCATCATATGTATGTGCCCGAGATCTGCATGTGCCCGAGAATTGCATCATATGCATGTGCCCGAGATCTGCATGTGCTCGAGAATTGCATCATATGCATGTGCCCGAAGATTGCATTGTGCCCGAGATCTGCATGTGCCCGAGAATTGCATCATATGCATGTGCCCGAGATTGCATTGAACCCGAGATTACATTCTGCCCGAGATCTGCATGTGCCCGAGATTACATTGTGCCCAAGATCTGCATGTGCCCGAGAATTACATCATCTGCATGTGCCCGAGGTTGCATTGTGCCCGATATTGCATATGCCCGAGATTGCATTGTGCTCGAGAATTGCATATGTCCGAATTAAAAAAAAAGCTACAAGTATCAACAGATGCCCGAATTACAGATACGCTTTCTTTATTCATTATTTTATTCCTAAGGCGTCATGGTCTAAAGGCATCATTTTCATGGCCTGCAGACATCATATCATGGCCTAAGGATTTACTTTCTGCTTATCATGATCCAAAAGTGTCATAGTCTAAAGGCATCATTTTTCATGGCCTGCGGACATCATATCATGGCCTAAGGATGTACTTTCTGCTTATCATGATCCAAATGTGTCATAGTCTAAAGGCATCATTTTTCATGGCCCGCAGACAACATTTCATGACCTGAGGATATATTTTTTGCGTATCATGGCCCTAGACATCATAGCCTAAGACATCATTTTCATAGTCTTATGGCAAACATCATCGTCGATATGGGAAATTGCATCATGTTTA